AGTCTCGACACATCTTCGAGCCTCTGCTGATGAAGTCGATTCGCTTCATTGTGGGTAGCTCCCCCCCCCCCCCCCCCCCCCCCCCCCCCCCCCCGAACGAGTGAGCGATGCGTGTGCTGGAGCTCGCTTGAGTTCGAGGTGTCGAGAGTTGGGTGATGCTTGGACGAGCTTCCGAGTAGTTTTAACACGTGTTCTCCACCGACCTTATGGAGCCTGGTTAAGCTCGACAGTTTCCTAGGTGCGAGGGGGTAATTACTGATTTCATTGATCCACCAGAAAGGTTTAGCTCTCTGAAAATCAGGTCGATTCTTTTTCTCGCTGATGGAGGAGAGTCAGGGGTTTGGACTTCGACCTCGACTTCATGATCTCGTTTTTGAGGTGCTTTGTCGGGGTCCGCTTCCCTGTTTCGGGTCGAGGTCTTTTTGGGCTTTTCGCTTTTTCCCTCGGCCTTCTTGGCTTTTCCTTTGGTGAGCTTTTTCGCCAGGATTCTAGCTCGAGTTTGATATTCATCTGTGGAATGTCCGTTCTTTTTGTGGTGCTCGCAATATTTGCTTTGGTCGAAGCTGGACTCTTTTTCGGGGGACGAGCTTTCTATATAATACGAATGCTGGCCTTTGCCTTACGGCTCCCTTTTGGGAGGTGTAACGTTAGCTTTCTTTGACCCGGAGGGTGCGAGGTGGAGCTGTGAGTTATGGTATTTTGCTTCGCAGGCCGCTGTTTCATCCTCGAAGTTAGCGTATATGGAAGCGCGATGGAGCGCGTCATCGAGTGAGTCCGTGGGTCGAAGCGTGAGCTCCGCCTTGAATCTCGACTGATACCAAAGGTTGGTCCGGAGGGCGAGCAGGGCTACTGCTTCGTTAGGATTAGCGATTTTTGCTTTGATTGCTTTGAATTTAGCAATGTATGATCGAAGTGGTTCGTCTAGAGCTTGGACTAGCTTCCAGAGGCCGGCTTCGGTTTCTCGTTTTTCGATGAAGATCGAATATTGCTTGAGGAAGGCTACTGCGTGCTCGTTGAAATTCGAGATCGAATTTTCTTCCAGCGTCGCGAACCATTCCTGGACTGGTCCGACTAAATTTTCGGCAAAGAGCATGCAATATCCTGCTTCTTTTTCCTCTGGGGAGAAGTTAGCTCGGATAGCTGCGAGGTTGAAGAGTCGGATATGAGCTTTTGGGTTGCTGTTTCCAGCGAACTCCGGGACTCGTACTTTGGTTGTGTCTCGAAGGTATGTGTTCATGATCGAGTAAGTGAACGGAGTCCGTTGGGTCTCGCGGATTACTCGATCGATGTTGGGAGCTGAGCTCGTAGCTTGATGGAACATGGAGTTCATCTGCCGAATGGCGTAGTCGGTCTGATTCTGGAATCTTTCAAAAGATTCGCAGTCGACTAGGTTTCTTGAACTGACGCCGAGGTGGTTAGCCCAGGTCGGATCATTCGAAATGTGAGTTCCGAGCTGTTGGTGAACGAACCCTACGGGTTGTTCGCGGATCCGTTAGGAAGTCTTGAACTCGAGGTCGTGTTCGGTTGTTGGCCGAACTGGGGTGGCGCTTGCGAGCTCGAGGCGAATGCCGAGGATCTATGCCATCTCTATCGAGGTGGCTCGGTTCCAGGTGGTCTTAAAGGTGGAGATGGATATCTCGTGTTGGGACGGGGTCCCATTTCGGGTATTCCTGGTGCCGGAATATCCGTGGTGATTGGTGTCTGGTTCGCCGAGGGGGCGAAGTTTGGTGGACCTGGAGCACGCAGAGGTGTCACGTATGGTCCGGACGGATTACTCGGAGCAGGGGTCGACGAAAAGTCGAGCTGAGTCCGTGGAGGTGGACTCGCAGCGGATCGAGCTACGGCTTGACTCCTTTCCTGTCTTTCTAATCTGATCTCCTGATCTTGTTGTCGATCGATCAGATGCATGAGCATTTGGAGTATCTCCGCCGACTCTGACGTGCTCCTAGAAGCTACGAGTATCGGCGGGGAGACGGGAGCTGCTCGGCTCTGTGATGCCGAAGCTGTAGGTGGATTCTCAGATTGCACCCAAGTTCGAGAGGGAGGCCTCTCAGCTGTTTGTGACAGGTTACTCGTCGTACTCGGTGGGGTGACGAGGTTGATCATGATCGGTTCCACACGGCTGGGAACGTTAGAGTTCGTGCCGGTAGTGTCTACAAGGGTCGTAACCCTGGGTTCATTTCTGCCGGCTGTCTGGCTGACGTTGCCGGTCGGAGTAACTTGATCTGGAGAGATCGGAATCGGTGAGACGTTTCCCGAGGTTTGTTGAGTTGAATCCATTTCGGTTTCGGCTAGCTTAGGATCTGCTCTTGAGTAAGAGAAATCTATAGATCTTCCCCTCAGACGGCGCCAAAATGTGGATACAGAAATCCACACTCAGAAATTTATGTGTTTTGTAAGAGAAGAAACTTTAGGAGAATTAAGGGTTAGATTCCCTCGAACAGATTGGCTGTATAAGCTAGCACTAACTGAAATAAGGACTTAGTATTAATCGGTTGAATGAAACGGTTACAAGGATTTTAATGAAGAAGATGAACTGAAAAGAGCTCTGAGAGCAGTTACAGAGTTTTCGGATGTAAGAAGTGTAAAAGAAGATCAAGCTGAAGGTCCGCGAACTTAGCCATTTCCACCCTTTATATAGCTCGCCTTGTCGAGCTTTGAACTCCAGCGCGTAACGTGCAGCATCTTCAGCCGGAAATCTCGCCACGTGCAGCAACTTCCTCCGCGATCTTCGGACTCGTTTGAACTGGTGAAAATATGCTATGACTTGACTCAGATCCTTCCTCGTTTCTCGGATTTGGTCGAGCTAGAGCTCGACTTCGTCGAATAGAACGCTTTGTTGTTTGTCATTGGATCATCGAGAATGAATGGACTTGGGCTGTGTAGTCAAAACCCATTCAACTTGGCTTAGTTTGGATTCTGTCTGTTGGGTTTAAGTGGATCGGATTTAGGGTGTCAAATCCAGCTCCAACAACATTGATTGTCGATTGTCCAAAACTCTCTATTAAATATAAAGAAAAGAATTACTCATGCTCTGTACATTATAAAAAGAAGAAAAACATCTAAAAATAAAAATAATGAAAGTAGAGTTAACTTTAATTATTTGGCAGAAAAAATAAAAGTGTTTTTGAAGGAATAAAATGAAGTTTCAAATATTCAGAAAATGCTACATTTATTAAAAAAAGAAGTTTCAGACAAATTGAAACAATATATATATATTATTTTCAAAGAAAAAAAAGAAAAGACACAACCTACTTAGATATTTGACCCAAATTGAAGATAATGCCGACTCGGATATTGAATTCATATACTACCTTAATAACAAACCAACTTAATAGACCTTAAATTTTCTCGATATCGAATTGAACTAATTTACAAATTGAATTCGACTTGAATATGCACTCAGATAAAATGCAGAAATTAACTGAAATTTAGAGCTTTATAACTTAATAAGCTTAGACAAAAATCTTATACCCTAACAGTCTAACAATGATGGCTTAATAGACTTGTAGTACTACTTTGAAGTTTTAATAAACTATAAATGAGTTTAACAATGATTTTGTTGGGAAAACATTACATGAGAATTGTTAAAAGGGAAATGAGTACATTTTCTAAAAGATTTTCTCTAGCAACAACCTAAACCCATCAAGATCAAGGAGGTCGCGCCGATGTAATTCAAAAAAGAAACTCCTTGAAGATATTCATCAAATTTCTAAAACATCGGATTAACTTAAAGGAATATTCAAGGGTAAAAAAAGAATTTTTATATCATTCGAAGAATAATGGATATTTCCATATCATAAATATGAGAATATTCACCAAAGAAGAAATGAAAAGGAGCTCGCAGCAATTGACCTCATATTCCTATAAACAAGAAGACCCCGGAAAGTTAGAAAAAGAACTCATACAATCTCGAAAGTAGCAGAGCGAAATCTAAAGACTCCAAACTTTCTAGTTCATAGCTTTAATATTCTCTTTTCACCTCGGCATAACCTTTCTGTTAAGACATCTCTTATAATCACTTCGCTTTTGAGCTATTAATAAAAATCTTATTCTCTGAAATTTACAACTGTTAACCACAAATTCTAGTGGTGATTTTCTGGTTCAACATGAATTTTCGGTTTTGGTTGGATTTCAACACCCATGCGAATAAAACAAAATGATACTCCCTCCGTTTTTTATATAAGACGTTTTAGAAATTGTTTTTTTTTCAAAAATAGTTGATGTTTTCACATATTTATACAGAAATTAATTGCATTTTTATGTTTTAAATGTTTGAATTTTGTATATTATTTTTTTATTGATTGAATTGTTTTAGAATTGATGATAAATCATTTTTTGTTTTGAAAATTTATAAAATTAAATAATTTATTAATCTATGTGTAAAAGCCTGGAGGGAGTAATATTAAACTCAATCAAGACATTACCCTCTGAGTCCCCGCTAGCTTTCAACTCGCATTCAATTTCAGGATTGGATAACGTAAACTAATGTAGACTCCTCTCGATGACTTATCATGACAAAGTTTAAATTAAACCTTATGTAAAAAAAAAAAAAAAAAAAAAACATTATGTTTGTTTACGGTCTTATGTCTTGCGTCTAAAAAAATCCAATTTATGGCCTTACGTTTGATCTTGTTATGATTAATTTGCAATCTTCAGTGTTCTCTTATTATCTTTTATGTTAAATTTCATGCCTCTGGTAAACTACATACGGCCATATTATGTAATTTTATGGACCAAACGAAATAACTAAAAAGCAGAATTATCAAATCCCCAAACCACAGAACACAATGATGGATAAATTAAGTTCCATAGAATAATAACCATCAGAGAATAAAATCAAATAAATCAATCCAATCAAAAATCCCTAAAACAAAATGACGTCGCACTATAGTTTTATCAAAATTCGTTGCCCACGGGCTAAAGCAAGGAGATAGAGAGGAGAAGAAGAAGACAGTTTTGTCTCTTACTTACCTACTAACTTCTTCTATTATTCTCTCTCAGCTTACTTGTTGTTGTTGCTGGTGACCACCGTACACCGGATAACCTCCGTATGGCGCAGCAGCATACATTCTCGGGTCTACAGGTGGCGGTAACATGTATCCATAACCGTTGTAATATTGTCCTCCGTAGTATGGATCAACCCATTGGTCTCCATACTCTCCTCTTGGCTGCAAAGAACCATTTCATCTTTAATTAGATAAGAGAAATAACGGTGTGGGCACACAAACCGAATGCAAACCAAAATGCTTAATCTATAACTCAACACAAATATGTGTTAACAACTAGTAGACAGGTTCCCAAATCGAAACCGTATTATAGAATAACTCGAATGAATAAAATTTTATAAACCAAAGAAACCGATCTTCAACTAAACCGAACCCAAACTTTGTAAAACTGAACCGATTAACCAAAATTCATTAAAGAACTAATACAGTACTATTAATTATACTTTTAAAAGATAATAATAATTTTTGATTAAGCATATAAAATAATATATTTAAATGTATTAAAAATCCACTATTTTTATTAAAATCAAATCGGTATTTTTGTTTTTCTTTTAAGAACTTTTTTTAAACGGAGTGGTATTTATACCGATCAATGTAAATTCTAAAGATAGAGATTTGTTACCTGTTTATTGCCTGGATTACGACCCCAAGAAAGGCGAACGGTTTGTTTCCCAATCTCAGACCCATTTAATTTCTCTAAAGCCTCCTCTGCATTTTCTCTGCAACAAATGTTGGGTACCAATTCAATTTCGGGCGAGCGAGGATAAAGAAATTAACTTCAGCATCCACAATTCCTAGCTTCACTACAGTTTAAATGGTACCTGTTCACAAACTGAATAAATCCACATCCTTTCCCAATAGGTATCTTGACAGAGACTATGTCGCCATAAGCAGCAAAAGGTTGTCTAAGATCTTCGTCAGTGACACTAGAGTCAAGACCTCCAACAAATATCTACAATAAAAACATGGAGTAAAGATCATACCAACCTTCTCATAATCACATTCATGAAATAAACAGACCACAAATACAAGGTAAACAAATTACTGTTGTGTTCAATGAGTCCCCTTCATGTCTAGCCAATGCACCATTCGACATATACCCACCTACCAAATCAGTAAGATATTACGTTATTGCAAGTAACTATAACATTTCAACATTCCTCACAAGTTCTTGTTGCTTTACAAGAAAATACAAGTCCGCTAAATTCCATTAAAAATTTCTCAATTAAAATAATTAGCTGATGAGGGATTGGCTATTCTTAAAAAAAATATCTAAACTTGGCCAGACAAGTTAACCAGGAACGAGCCCATGAGTAATCTAAAACTTCAAACAAAGTTTAAAGCTAAGTTTTTGAATAAACAAAGATAAAGAATCAGACTATAATACCTTGTTGGTGATAACCATTTGGCTTCCTAGGTGTTGCAGGACCGATTCGCATAGCCCTGCTACAGAATTTAACACCATTCATCTCCAACATAGCTTTGCTCCTCTCATTATCATCTCCAAACCTCACAAAGCCATACCCTTTCGATCGACCAGTATTGCCATCAATAACGACTTTCGCGTTCTTGACGGATGGGTACTTATCAACGAATGTTTTAAGCAACATAGCATCACTGACTTCCGGCGCTAAGTCCCCAACGAATATCGAGTGATCAGGACCATTCTCTAACCGCTTTTCACCGGTGCTAAAACTCGCCCAGTTTAAACGGAAAGGTTGGTCGGACTTTAACATAGTTACGCCATTAAACTCCTGCAAAACCTTCTCGGCGACATCGTGGGAATCAAATTCCACAAATCCGTAGCCCTCAGACAGACCAGTGTGCTTGTTTCGTATAACCTTAACCGACGACATCTACATCATAACAGGTAAACACATATGTTAACAGATCCAGAACAAATGAAGTCAACGTTAATAACCATAAAACGTACTTCAAAGAATAACACATTGAGGAATGAAAATGGACTCGAGCACTGTGTACAAAAGCTAACAAAACCATCGAGAGAATCAAATTTTATTCTAACAAAAGCTACAAAAACTATTGTCTAGCTTACTAACATCGAAATTTCAAAAGCCAAAAACTTAAAAAGGAAGACTTGGATTTATGAAAACACTAAGCAGAGGCACAATGAGAGAAAAGGGTGGATCCAAAAATGGACACTTCCAGTATTATTATAAAATAAACCCTCTAAAGAATCAAAGTTTAATCTAACAAAAGCCACCAAAACTATTGTACAGCTTCAACTAAATGAAATTTCAAAAGTCAACAAATTAAAAACGAGGACTTAGGTATATAAAAACACTAAGCACAGAAATAAAGAGAGAAAAGAGTGGATGCAAAAATGAAAGTGAAAATGAAAAAGGACACTAATTAGGTTAGAAAAACCCTACAAAGAATCAAACTTTAATATAACAAAAGCACCTCTATCTTCAACTAACATCAAAATTTCAAACTCAACAAATTGAAAACGAAAACGTGGATTTATGAAACACTAAGCAGAGACATAACGAGAGAAAAGAGTGGATGCAAAAATGAAACTTAAAATGGACACGTTCAGTATTATCATAAATTAGGCAAGAAAAAATCCCTCCAAAGAATCAAAATTTTGGCCAGCTTCAACTAACATCCAAATTTTCAAAAGTCAACAAATTAAAAACGAAGACTTGTAAATGAAAGACACTTTAAAGAGAGACACTTTCAGGATAAACATAAATTAGGCAACAAAACCTTCCAAAGAATCAAACTTTAATATAACAAAAGCTACTCAAACTGACATCGAAATTCCAAAAGTCAACAAAAAACGAAGAGTTTGTATTCATGAAAACAGTAAGCAAAGATGCACATATACAAATATACAAGTAAAGAGAGATTCATAGTGAGAGCCAGACCTCTCCAGCGGAAGAAAAGCAAGAATTAAGATAGCTCTCATCCATCCAATGAAGCAAATCACCGACCCAAACGGTCTTATTCTCAGCGTTTGAAGCGTTTTGATGCTTATTACCACGAGATTGATGATGCTGCTGATGATAGTGATTGTGATGATAAGGAGAGTATGGTGGCGGCGCATACATCATCTGATGCGGCATTACCATCGCCGATGGATATCTCATCGCCATCCAATGTGGCTGTTGTGGTGGCGGCGCCGCCGGCGATGTTATTCGTTGATTCTCCTCAACCGCCGTTGTTTCAGGGGATTGTACCTTCGTGTCGGCCATTAGTGCGTTTGTGTGTGATTGATTGAAATTGGTGGGAGAACAGTTCTGTGGTTGCTATTAATGGCGAAACTGGTTTAGGGCGAAATTAGGGGTTTTTTTCCTCCAAAGTTTACAAGAAACTGAAGATGTGTCGGCTTTATGAGGTTGCCCTAGGTTTTTAAGAAGAGGGTGATAAATTTTGAGATTGAATCCTGACCGTTTGATTAAATTCGACACACGTTTTATTTTCCATTTTTTTAGTTGCTTCTTCGCCATTTATATTTTTAGAAAATTACCATTTGTATATTTTCCTCTGAGTTTTAAATTTCTATTAATTATTTTAAAATATATAGAATTTTTATTTTTAATTTTTTTAAAAAATACTTATTTTTAAAAATAATCTATTGATAAAATTTTATGAATATAACTGATAAAAATATTAAAATAATCAATTTTAAAAAAGGTTTTAAAGACTAACATTCACACAAAATTAATTTGTTGTAAATAAAATATGATTATTATTGTAATATTTAAATTACTAAATAAAATTTTATAGAGCTCAACAATTTAAAAATTAAAATTTATATATTATGGTGTTTTTTTAAATTTATGTTCTTATTTTTAATTATATATTTTATATATTACTAAAATTAATTTTTTATTTTTTTTTTATTTTATATGGATTTATAGTTATTTTAGGTCTTTTTAAAGGTCCAAGAAGAAGCTGATCCACTAGATCATAATGAGTATTAAGAAGAAAGTTTTGATGGTGAGAGCCTCTTGGTGTTGTTTGAAGCATTGGTTGTTGAGGTTAAGGATGAAGTTCAAAGGAGCCACACGAAGCTCAGGTCAAAAAAGAAAGTTCAGATAAGAACCAAAAAGGTGTTTGTTGAGAGAGGAAAAAGGAATTGGATGCCATTTCATACTTTTCATTGAGGTCTAAGCCAACAAAAGTCAAGCTTAGTGACTCTAAACAAGCACACTTAGGAAGTAATCCATGTCTATCCTTATAAATATAAGTTCTTTATGTTTTTGATATGTTTTATTTTAGTGTTTCAGGTGTTTTAGATGTTAAATGGTTCAACTAGATGGTTCAAAAAGGCTAAAGCGAAAACTCTGTTTCTGTACCGAGCAGCTGCACCGTGGAAATGAACATGTGCCTTTCTCGATGGCGATCAGACCGAGAGAATGGCCGTCGTACACTGGTGACTTGCACGATGGCGATCATACCGACCAGCGCATACCGAGGAAAAAAACAACTATCCCTCCTTGGTATGGTCATCGATGACCCTCCGGCTAAAACTCAGGTGATCCTCCGACGTCCGGTGTACCGCGTGGCCGAGCTCCAACGAATGGCAATTGCACCGAACAAGTGCTCGGAGTAACACAAGACGGTGAACGCACGTGCATGCATGCACGTATGTCCGAGAAACAAGCATCGAATGGAGGACAGCTAAGTGCTAGACATGTACCGAGTAACAGCACCGAGGAAATCAACCCACAAATTGCTTGGTACAGTCTAAATTGCTATGTGCATCGAGGACATCATCCAGTGGTTGCTCGAACCAAGGAAATCTAGTACATGGCGTAGAGCGAGGAAGTGCACCGCCGAGATCAACAAGATGCTCTGCCTAGTGCATCCCATATCCGACGAAGGATTGCGCTAATTCCAGCCTGCACGATGAAACAAGACTTTTTGTGGTCTAGAACAAAATGTCCTTAGCCTATAAGCAGTTGTAGAATAGGGATCAGGTGTCAATTCACTTGCGGATGATGAGATGCAAACAATGCCATAAGTTAAGAAAGATTTGGGTTTTAATTGTGTAAGAACAAGTCTAACAACCTAAAAATGAAAGAAAGAGAAAACAGGAAATGCAATTAAGAAAAGACTAAGCAAAATAAAACTAAAGCAATGAACTAAAGCAAAATATAACTACTTAAGCAATACTAAGCAAGCTGAAGACTTAATTAAAGCAAGCAAGAACAATAAGGTAAGAAAGCGATTTAAGACAATAACTAAGAGGCAAGATCCAAGGTCCTAAGCAATAATGGTTAAGTGGTATCAAGAATGACTAAGGGGATTTCTAACAAAGGCAATCATCAAGCATAATCATAAGCAAGCAAATCTCAATATTACATTTCTAGACAAGGTATCTAAGGAAAGATCTTCTTAGTGGTTAATAAGCTAATCCAATTCAACAAGACTAGAGTGTCAAACCTACTTTTGATGGTGTATTCTCTAATCATGGGCATAAAGAACAGAACCATAAAGCCTAAGAGAAGTACTAATCAAGTAAACATCTCTCACCCAAGCAAGAATTCAGATCAACCTATCAATCTTTTTAACCATATAGGAACCTAAGTAGCTAACTCAACCAATCAAGAACATAGATTCAAGCTCACAATTGCGATACCTAACAATGCTCAGCAATGAACGGGAATCAAACAAAAGCATGTTCTTCTAATGCAAACTATCTAACCATCAAGCAAGAATCTTAGAACAAGCACTATCAAGCCCTAAGCGAACCATCAAGCAAGGTGAACTATCACTTTGGTGTCACTGAACAAAGGAAACATAGACCAAGCTAGACTATCAAACCAAATAAGCGAATCATGCAAAGAACAAGACTTCAAGCCATCAAGTGAATCATATGCAACAACAATACCATATTCTATCAAAAGGGAGAAGCTTTATGAGCAATAATCACTTTGCAAGAGAAGGAAACAATATATATCAAACTAAACAAGCCTAATCACCCCTAATCACATCTTAAATACCACTTTTTCTACTTGGAACCTCAAATCTAAGGTAAACTATTCACTAATCATGTTTAATCCTATTTGATTAGAGTTAAACACGATTAGATGAGATGAAATGCAATGATAATGAATCTAACTACCCGGATGCGAAAACTAAAGAACAATAAGCAATATTAAATCAAAAAATGCAGGACTTGATTGGAAAATAAAGTTGTTTACAAAATTAGGAAAATCGCCTTATTTGGGTAAGCAAGAGATAAGATAAGGTTTTGGAAAAGATCAGACATAAGGTTTTGTTTTGTGGCTTCCCTTTTATAGTAGAGAACTAGAGAACCAAAAGAAGGATAAAAAACCTAAAAATAAGATAAGGTAAACAAAAATCCGGTCAAACACGCGGATAAGTTGTATCGGGTGGTACAGACGGTGTTCAGCTCGATGCATCGCCCCGATATTGTCCGTGTAAGCGCGTATCGGCTGTGCAGCTTCCCCTACTCGATGCAGCACCTCGATGAAAACAATGCCTTAGATTCCAAGAACCAGTCCACTTCTTCACGAACCGCGGTTTACATCAGGCATACTCCATAGAGGTTTTGCTCGATGCTTCACCTCGATATGGGACTGAAACAGGATCTTTTTGGGTCTCTAAATTCAAATGTCCTTAGTCTCTAATCAGTTGTAGAATATAGATCAGGTATCAATCCAACTGTGGAAGATGAGATGCAAACAATGCTGTAAGCTAAGCAAGATTGGGGATTTGATTATGTAAGAACAAATCTAACAACCTAATGGTGCAATGGAAGGAAAGCATAAATTAAATGCAAGTAACAGAATTGAACAATGAACTTAAAGCAATGACTAAAGCAAGAACTAAGCAAGATGACTTTGAAGACAATTAATTAAAAGCAAGACTCAAGGTTCTAAGCAATTGTGGGATTGTGGTTTTCAAGAATGATAAGTGGATTTCTACTAAGGCACTCAATATGCATTAACAAGCAAGCAATTCTCAATGTTATGCTCCTAGACAAGGTATCTAAAGGGAACCACTTGGCATCAATAAGCAATTCATGTTCAACAAGATCTAAGTGTCAGACCCACTTGTGATGGCGTATCCTTCAACCATGAGCATAAAGATCAGAACCATTCTAGCCTAAGAGATGCACCAATCAAGCAACTACTCTCTCACCCAAGCAAGAATTCAGATCAACTTATCAATCTTGTGAACCAATAAGGACCTAGGCAGAAATACACCAATCAAGATTATGGATTTAAGCACAAACTTGCAACACCCTAACAAAGCTCAGCAATGAACAAGAATGAAGCAAAGACAAGATCTTTCAATGCAGACTATCTAACCATCAAGCAAGAATCATCAAAATCAGCATCATCTAGCCCTAAGCGAATCATCTAGAAAGGTGAACTATCATTTTGGTGTCACTGAACAAAGGAAACATAAACCAAGCTAGACTATCAAGCCAAATAAGCGAACTATGCTTAGAAAAGAGATATCAAGACATCAAGCAAACCATAGGCATCTATCAAACCATATTCAATCAAAAGGAGAAAGCTTTATCAACATTAATCAGTTTGCAAGAGAAGGAGATAACAGAGAACCCCTAAACAAGCCTAATCACCTCTTAATCACATCTTAATCACCACTTTCCATACTTAGAACCCTAAATCTAAGGAAGACTACTCACTAATCATGTTTAATCCCACTGATTTGGAGTTAAACATAACTAGATGAGGTTAAAATGCAAAGATGATAAAACTAAACTACCAAGGCGCAAGAACAAAGATTAGAAGACAAGATTAAACCATAAAAATGCAAACTTTATTAAAGATAAAGATCCTTAGGGCAAATCGCTCTTTAAGATTTAGAGAAGGTTTTTGATAGAAAGCTAAACTTGGATAAGATAGATCTTGATGAAAATAATGTTTGTGGCTTCCCTTTTATAGTAGGGAGCCAAAAGAAGCATAAAAAACCTAAAAAGATAGGATAAGGTTAACAAAAGTCAAGTGGTCAACGCGGATGAGTTGCATCGAGGTCGTACGGTCGATGTTCTGCTCGATATGCAACCTCGATATGGTCTGTGTAGCGCGTATCGACGTCCTTCCTCGATGCAGACCAATGACTTGGAATCCTCTTGCTGATTTTTTTCCTCTCGTCCTGCTGCTTGCATCGAACATACTCCACGGGTGTTCTGCTCAATATTCTTGCTCGATATGAACCAGACTTTGCAAGAATTCCATTTCTGACATCTCCTTTTATCATGAGCTGCTTCTATATATCCCTTTCCCAGCTCCAAGAAACTCCT